TTAGAAAAATTGTAATGTTTACAAGGCTGATTATAAATTATACCTACAAGCTAGTATAATATTTGTTAGAGAATTGCAATTTAATAGTTTGTAATTTTTGATATAATAACATAATGCTTACTTTCTATAATTATATTAATTAGTTTAAAATGTTGGACTTAAAAGTGCTTCTAAATAAAATTCATATTTACTTCCTGTTTAATGATATTTATTAGATATATTTAGACAAATCTTTTAAACAAATAATTTTATACTTACAAACTAATAATTTAATACAAATAAGAATTATTATTATTAATAAAACATAAATAATAAAATAAATATATTTGTACCATCTAGTAAATAATAATATTAGCATTAATAAATATTTTAATAATATTGATTTAAGTGACTTTACACTTACAATCTAGTAATTTTGCCATAATTAGGTTACTTATATGACATTTTTTTTAACAAATAAATAATATCTTTATACCCACTGGCTGATAATTTTATTAGAAAAAATAATTTCATAGCAGTGACTTTAGAATTCAATAAACAAAAAAGTCCATAGAGTGAAATAACATTGTTACTTAATATTTACTAGCTAGAAATTTCATACACTGATAGTTTGGTTAATCGTTCTTTAATAATTTAATAGACATTATATATTTACCGACTGGAAAAATTTGTTGATTATTGCTTTACGTTTAGGGCCAATACAAATAATTTATGCTTACTTTCTATAAATCATTTATGAAAGTAGTTGTATGAATTAATGATAGTATGATAAAATAAATATCATTTCCTATATTATCTTACTGACTAGTAGATTAACATCGATACGTATGATGATAATACTTACAAACTAGGAATTTATAAATGAAATAATGTTATTTATGAATAAATAATTCAAATATATCATTTAATAATGAATAAAACTTTTTAATCTTATATTTACCGCCTAGTGAATTTATATTAATATAGTTATAAAAATATATAATTGTGATGTTTTGGTAGAATTTACTTACTCTCTATTATTTGATTCGAAATAATAATTAGAAAATGTTAATTATAAATAGATAATATTAATGAATTTCTTGCCATCTAACAATTTATCAAAATTATTAATTGTTGCTCATTATTAATAAATAAATTGTGAATGTAATTTCAAATTTACCATCTAATTATTGAAATAAATTTATTAAAAAATTATAATAAATAAATTGCGATTGATCAAACTTTATACTTACCAACTAATTTTTAACATGTATTATTAGTCTGAAAATATTAAAAAATTAACCATTATTCAATTTTATACAGACCCCCTGTTAATTTGACATGATAAAATTTATTTAGAATTCATTATTGACAAGGCTTTATAATAATCTGATAACATGTACTCACTCCATATTAATTTAATGAATATACATATTAGAGATGATTAGAATAATTTAAACACAACCTTATACTCACAAACTAGTATGTAATATAAATGCAGTTAGTAAAATAAAATTTCAATTTAGAATATGAATATAAGATTGTACTTACTCTCTGATGTCCGATGCAAGTGATGCAAATTTAAGTGATTAAGGTATTAACTTGTGAGGAATGAATTCAATAAAACATTACTTACTAATATTTTATTAGAAAATTACAATAAAATATTAGTTATTATGAACAACAGTAAATATTGTTTAATAAAATTTTACTCATTTTCTGCAAATCAAAATGATTAGATAAAGCATCTTTAATTTGCAATTGTTTAAATTTTATTTACATTCTGTATATTTGATTCAAAAGATGTATTTAGGAGAATTCACTTTGAATAAAATGATAGTTTAATTAATAAACTTATACTCACATGCTAGAAATTTAAATTTAGTTTTAAAAAAAAGTGTCAAATAAAATTTTAGAACCACATTAATTAACTTGTGTGCTCACTTTCTGTTAATATAATACGATTTAAAAAAGCTATCAATAAAAAGCTATTAATAATAGAATGTTGATTTTGATAAACTTTATATTCACCGACTAGTAATTTGATAAGAAAATTATTAATTAGAAGTATTTATATATATGAATTTAATAAACTAATTATTGTACGCACTGGCTAGAAAACAATAAAATGCAGTTGAGTAAAAATGAATCATTTTAAATATATGAAATTGAAATTAAATTCCCACCTCCTTTTAAATTTGATGTAAATTGTAAGATTGTTATTAGAATGTTTTATAGTTTTAATAATAAATTTAGCAAACTTTATACATACTCTCTATCAATGACAAACAGATTTAATTAAAAGTGTTAAATATATTATTGAACCTAATAAACTTTATGCTTACTCTCTGTTAATTTGATGTGTGATTAATCAGGTTAAATAAATATAATCTGTTATTTAGACTTAGTAAGAGTAAACATTATGCCCACTGACTATAATTTTATGAAATTCAATTGTTAAGGAAATTCAAATAATGATATTTTAAATAAATTTTTACCCACATATTACAAAATAATACAAAAGTATTAAGTTAAATGTCATTTAAAAAACTTTTTAATTAAGCTAATGAATTTAAAACTTACAATCTAATAATTTATGTGAAAATAATTAGTTAGAGAATGAATTATTGGATCTAACAAGTTTTATACCTATCTCCTGGAAATTTAATGTGATGATAATATGACAAATAAGGGTACTTATTATTTATTTGAATTTTTGCAGTAGATAATTTAAAATCTTAATCTCTGTTAATTAAGTTAAATGTTAGCGTTAAGAAATTTTTTATTTTAGAAATAAAATTAAAAATTTTAGATCTATACTCACCGACTAATAATTGTATACATGGTTTTAATTAAAAAGAGTATATAAAATCGAAAAAAGTATTATATACTTACAATCTATTGCATTACAAACCATTTTCTATTAGTAAGATGTCGTTTGATAATTTACCAAGTAAACCAATCAAATCTATACTCACCGACTAATTATTAATTAGAATACTATTAGAAAGTGTTATGAAATGATATATATAAATTTAAATTGTGCATTATACTCACTTCCTATGCATATTATTGAATAAGGGAATTATTAGAAAATATTTTTACATAAATGTACTAAATTTTATCTTACCATCTAATGATTCGATAGATTAGATATGATTCGAATTATTGTTTTAAAACAAAGTCTGATAAAGTTATTTACCGGCTAGTATTCAATAGAACAAAATTAATTAGAGAAACAATATTTAATTGAAACGATGCAAAGCTTAAACTTACCCACTGTTGGTTTAGCATCAACGTGATTTGTTGTAAATAAACTTTTTTTAATAAATTAACTAAAATGCATATCTAATGACTTAGACTCACGAACTAAAAATTTAATGCAAATATCATAGGTTAATTAAAAGAAATTTAGTTTAAGAATTATTGATTATAAAAAAAAAAAACTAACTTCCTGCCAATTTAGCAAAAATGTAATATGGATAAATAATTTGCTAATTTAAACGCAAATCTAATGCTATACTGAACTTACCATCTAATACAAATACAAATTTTATCATTTTAGATTAAATATAAATACATTGATAAGACAATAAATGCTATACTTACCGACTGATTTGAAAATTTTTGATTGCTTAGAGAAGCGATATTTGTAAACAAGATCAATAGTCTTATACTTACAATCTAGATTTATTTAATTAAATGAGTTATTCTGATCACACTAACAAGTAGTTGTTGCTAGATTTCCATTCCATTTTGTCTTCAATAGACTTCTGTTATTTTCCTGCAGCTTATTTTGAGCATCTAAGCTACCATATTTTGCTGCAAACTTTAAAAAAGTTTTAGCCATACTTTCATCTTTTTTATGCCAATACCCTTTTTCATAGCAGCACCCCAAGTAAAAATTAGCTATCAAATAGATTTAGTAAAATTATTATTTCTTCCATCAAATTTGGAAAAAACTTTATAAGCATTTTTTAGATCTTGTCGTTTGTCAAAAGCATCCTTAGCGGCATTAATAAAAATTTTTTCAATTTAATAAATTTTTTTTTCAAGGTCACAAAATTTATCAATAACCATACAAAGGTCAGACAATGATTTATTTTTAATATCATTTGTCAAAGAAATTAGTTGAAGGTCTATATCTTGTAACTTATCTATTATTAATGGAAATATTTATTATTTTAACCGCTAATTTTATATATAATTTGGTCATCCATATTTAAAGAATTTTTGAATGAATCTTACTAATATCCTACTTAGGATTATGTATTGTTTCAATAAAAATTTCATTTTGATTAAATAGAACTAATTAAATTGAAAATTCAATTTACAAGAATAATGCACATTTTTCGATCTAGATAAACATTAATACAATCTAATTTAAACCATTTTATCTTTTTACCTGTAGTAATGCTGCGAAAATTTGTTTAAAATAAATTAATTACTGAGCTTGTGAGAGCTTGTAATTTCTAAATACATGTCTTTATTACTTTTTGCCAGAATTATCAGAATAATTCGCACTAACAATTGAATTGTTGAATCTAATTTTGATTTATTGATTCTTTGAGAACTATCTTTTGCAATTTTACAATGGGATTTAAGAAATTTAGAGCTTGAAGCAGAATATATATTGGATTGGAATTTATATAAATATAAAGATAATGAAAATTTTCATTTTATTCTGAATAACAGTAACAAACTACTTGCTGTAATAGGAGATGCAAGGTATGCAGAATATTTAGATGAATCAAAACCCGAATTGGTAACTAGATAGGTAGAAAAGACAACTATTTATGTTTATTCAACAGAGTCTAGCAAGATATTGGTCAAATGTAAGTATTAAACATAAAGTCAATTTTTGTTAAACTATTATACCGGTGCTGTTAATTAATATACTTTGTCATTTGTATACAATTGCAGATGCCTTCGATAGCAATAAAATTAACAGCTTATATTTTATTAAACTAAGTAGAGGAGATCGTTTGCTTTTCAAAACTGGTGACTCAAAATATAGAATCATGAATCTACGTGCTCTTATCAATATTTTAGATGCAGAAATTCTATTTCTATTGAATAGTGAAGATGAATCAACAAGGTTATTAGAACCGAATATCATTACTTCTAGTCATATAATAGGTGTTTCTAATAATCAGTTATGGATTCAAAATTTAGTTAAGAATAAAGATCATATTGATGAATTTAAAGTTAATAGTTTGGTTGACATATATTCTTGTGGTGAAGAAATTGGTCAAATTATAAGAGACATAAACTTTCCTTTAACAAAAATACATGTTGGATGTTTGTATACTTGGATTGTTAAGTTTACTAATGAGATGGCGGTATTGCTTACAGCATGGAAATATGATCATGAAATGCTAATATGGAATAAAATTGGAGATATGATACAGATAATCAAATTACTTGGAAGTGAAGATACAATACAAACAATCGATAATAATGATTCTGTAAAATTTAAATTACTTCGAAGTGAAGATTTTATATCGATATTATATAGAAGAATATATATTTGGACTAAAAGTACAGGCAAAGGAATCCATTTACTTTATTATTAGGATGAATTTGAGCTTGATAATTTGGAATCATATAATTCATATTTTTTTTAAATTACCAAGATTTGGTCAAATTCTTAAAAATATGAATGAAACAAATGCTATTATATATAAAAACATAAGATCCAACAAATACTTTAAATATGAGAATCTGCTTGAGTATTATGTAGAAGATTTACAGATTATAAAATTATATGGCAACGATTTAATTAAAGGGCTAATTGAATATAGAAAAAATACTTATTACATCAAGAAACTTTTTGTATTTTGTCTCGAACAGAGTTTATTACAGCTTAAACATGGATATATATCTACATTTATTGAATTAATAGATATTGTTACTTCATCGCTCTTAGAATTGGAAGAAATAGACAAAAGTTTTGTCTTTACAGAACGTTTTTTGTCCAAAACTGCATTATTAATTTCTGATGATTTTAAAGAAGACTTTTTAGAAAAGAATTCTTCAACATCTCATTTTGGAGATTGTGGAAACTATGATATTTACTTATATACTGAATCTAGTTTTTATATGAAAAAAGTTTTAAATATTATATTGATTTTTATTATAATGAATCTAAATTTAAATATTATATTAATTTTTATAAAAATAGTACTATTAAAACAAAAATAGTATTATTTTTTCTTGGTTTATTTCTTTGTAATATTGTTTTTATTCTAGAGGATATTTATCTTTTTTCATATATTTCTTTACAAGAAAATATTTTGATTGATATTTTTATAAATTTTATAATAATACTAGATTGGAGTTACTTCACTTTTGATCTAAGCCTTTTTCAAAAAAAGTTACAGTATAAACAAACTGTAAAATTAATAATTCCTTTATCATCTTTTAATCTTTCTTATTTAAATGCTTCTAGAAATTATAGATAGTGGAATATTAATGCTCTTATTAATTTCGAATGGAAAACTTTTGCAAAGTTGTATTATTTGTGGTGGGCACTTTATATAATCTTTTTATTTTATTTTGCTACAGTAGCAACCGAATTACAAAATGAAACTTATTTAAAAAGTGGAAATTTGCCAATTTTATTAGATATAACTGGAGTTTTATATGGAGGAATAATAATTGGTTTTGAAATTTATCAATTTTTTAATGATAAAATGAACCATATTACAAATCCATGGGAATGGTTTGGTATATATAATTTGTTTTATTTAAAAATTTTGTAAAAACAAATATTTTTAAATGCTTATTAACTTTTATATATTTTTTATTGTTTATAGATTTTGTAGCAATAGTATTTCCAACAATAACCTCAATATGGTTTTTTTTTGAAACTTCTCCATTATCAATAATTATTATATCTATTCTTTTACTTGAATTAAGAGTAATATTTTTTCTCCAAATGTTTGAATACTTTGGACCCTTTTTTGTAACAATATTTAAAGTAGTTCGTAATGTATTATCAATTACTTTAGTTTTAATTATTATAATTATTGCATTTGCTTATACATTATATATTTTGCTAAGACCAAATAGTGAATATTCTTATGATTATCCAAGTTATACTAGTGATTCTAACAATTCATGGAATCTTGTTACAAGATATCAACCTATTTTATATAATGGTACTATTGAAACTAATTTATCTCTTATTTAAACTCCAGATGAAAATACAAATTTGTTCACTAATTTTGGTACTGCTTTATTAGCAGTATATTATATGTTAATTGGTATTATATTAGTTTAATATTTATATACGTATTTTTATACAAATATAAAATATACTAATAATTTAATATTATTAGGTGATACAAGTTCAATTTCACCATGGATTTTAAAAGAAAATTTATTATTAGATTCTTTGTATATTCTATTTTCATTTTTAACTACAATTTATTTAATGAATTTGTTTATTGGATTTCTTACTTCAGCAATGGAAAATATTCATGAAGAATCATATTTACAAATTAAAGGAGAGGTATTTATATAATTTCATATATAGAATAATTAATTAATAATCTATTTTTATTAGGCATTAGTCGAATTGAAGCTTTTAAACCGTTTTTTAAATAAATTAAAAATAGTCAAATATTTGAATGATTCTTTTAAAATATTATTTTATATAATATTTTGTTATATTAATTATACAATTTAAAATTTTATTTATTTTATAACTAGATATTACATATAAAGCTTCAGTCGATGAACTTAAAAAATATATAAAAAGAGTAAAAAACAATATTTATAATGAAGAATCTACTCCATATTTATCCTATGCAATTTTAGAAATTGCAGAATATAAAAACAATGAAATCGATGATAAAATTGTAATTATTAATAACAAAATTAATAAAATAATAGAATTAATAGAATTAAGTAAAAAAAGACTAATTTTTTTCTAAAATATTAATTTATTTTTATTTATTTATACTTTAAATTGCTTAATTTTCTTTTAAATATATTTTTATTCTTTATTTTTTCTTATCTACAATATATAAACTATTTTTTTTGAATAAAGATTTTAAGTAGTCCACAAAGAATTAGTACCAAAGTCATGTTTGCCAGAGTTCTACCAACATTATATTTACCAGAGTTATGAATTAATTCTATCAAAATTAAGTTTACTAAATTAAGTTTACCAGAGTTACAAGTTAATTATTCAATCATAAATGAAGTTTACGTCATAGTATTTTAGCATCGGTGGATGCTGAAATAAGTCATATGATTAGTCAGTTAAGTATCGATGTTAAAAAGTCTCAAGCCTTTTTTATTTAAATCTACTAATGCTATATCGATATAATATTGATGTTAGTTATGCAATTTATTATTACTTTAAACACATTAAATAATCATGTAGCTAGGAATTTGTGTAATAAAAGAAAATTATTAATATAATTTGAAATAGGCAATTATCTTTGTTTAATTAAAAAATATACAAGTGTCGAATACTGTAATAGAATTTCTTAAGTTACATAAACATGCCGTCAGAAATGAAATAAATAACAAAATTCATTAAAAGTTAGCACATCTTTAAACTACACATTTAATGTAGCAACTATTTGTGTCGTGATTGTATAAGGTATTTTTATTAGTAAAAATTTAAAAAAGTGTGATTGTGATTATAAGTCATTTGTAATTATATAAAGGTACTTTAAATATTAAAAAAATGGTAGTAAAATTTTATGTAATTATGTAGAAGTTGTAACTATAGGTGAGGTGATTGTAGAGGAGGATGATAGTAATATAATTAGCTTTCATAACTTACAACAAACTTTTTATTGAATGTATATCTATTCAAAAATAAAATAAAATAAAATTTTTTTTGTATTTATATGCAAATTGATGCTAAACAAGTTTACTTAGAAACTAAAAAAGAGTTGATATAATAAAATTTAGAGAAAACTTGAAAAATAAATAAAAAATACAAATATCTTTAAATTTAATTAAGATAACCTCTTTCTGTTTTTATGTAAGCTTGTTTAGCATTAAATTTTATATATAATTATAACAAAATTTTAAGATTTTTCTAAAAATTATTTAATATGAAGAAAGTTACTAAAAATTGTTAACACTCTTCTATCTTTTTTTATTGGCATGTTGTATATTTTTTATTTTATTTTTTTTTATTAATATAATATCATAGTAGAAACTTTGTTACAATAAACCTAAGTTAATTCAAAGATTAATAGTCTTCTTATTATCAAAAAGACTTGGGTAAGTGGACAGATAAGTTAAATGACCAGGCTGCCGAATCCCTTCAACTCAGTACTAGTTGATAATAAGAAGATATGGTTTTGTTAGAAGAAATTTCTATAGTAGAGATTTCTAACTACACTTGTGCTACAGAGCACCTAGTGTGACATTACACCTCCTATTCCCTACTTAATACTATTGTTAAATTAAATAAATAAAGTAATTCTAGCTAGGATAGGTTGGAGAAAACCTTAGAGTGTTAATCATGACATTATAGAAAGCATGTTGTTAGTGAGTAACCTTGTAAGTACCATTTTTCGATAGCATTATGTGAATTTACTGATTGTGGATGAGATCTATTTAAATTTGTTTGGTTAGTAAGTGAGAGTGTAGAGAATTTAGTGCATTTAGTTTTGAGCGTGATGTTAATATCTATTTCCTCTGGTTCTTGGCCATATTCTAAATCATATTCATGGGGGTCGAAATTTTGAACTACCATCTGAAGCTATAGGACAAACATAAAAACCCAATATTATAATTATAAGCAAATAAATGAGTAAATTTGAAAACATTCAAATTTGCAATAGCGAGAGTATCAAATTACCTGGAATTGTTATATTTTGCAAATATCTCTTAATAATGCTCGCGGGTTCAATACCTTTTAAAAAAATATATATATATAAGTCAAGATAATAATCCAGAAAACAAAACTGCATATTTTTTTTAACAACTTGAAGCAATAAGGTTCTGTTGTTCTATTATAATGATACATTTTATGTGAAGATTTTATCGGAAATAATTTGCAGTTTATTTATTCTACAATTTATCATTTCTACAATGTGTTACCAGTTATCGTTATATTAAATTTGTATTATATAGTCTTCTTTTACATTTACAAAAAAGTTTTTAATGTCTTCATTTAAAATTTTAATTTTGCAATGTTTTTCCTTACTTTACTTTACAGAAAATTTTTTTTTCATTTTGCTACTTTTACATTTTATTGAATCATGCTGCTTTTGGATTTTCTTTACAATAATTTTTATGCAAAATGCTGACTTTAACATTCTCTTTTTTTGTTTTATGTCATTACCTCAATACTTTATTTCATTATTATTACAGTTGTTATTTAATTCTTAAAATTCTACGATTTTATTCTCATTATTTATATTGATAATTTTATATATAAATTGCACAAGTCATTACAAGAAAAACTCAACACACAATTATCTGCATATCAATTAATTTGTTTCCCAAATTATTAATGATCAATAATACTGAATTGAATTTTTATAACATATCTGTTCTAAATTTTGTTGAGATCAGTTTTTTCCTATTAATTTTTGTCACAAATATTTCTTATAGTTTAAAGGGTAATTGATCATTAATATTTGTTAAATGATAAATCAGATTATGATAAGAGTAATGTTAGTAATAGAGAAACAGTTTGTTAATTGTAGCAAACATTTTTGAAAACGAAAGTGATTTTTAGGTTTACAAATTTATGTAATGATTTAACAATTTTACGAGTGTACATAAGTGTATTTGTAAGTGAAAAGTGCTTTAATCCATTTTGGATTTCAACTAATTTTACAAGAGAATTGTCTAAATCTGGAAAACCATTATAGTATAAATCTACGAATTTAAAGTGTTGAATTTTAGTAGATTTATTCAACAATAATTGAATAAGCGTTTAAAAATCATTTTTATATTAAATATTCTTATGCAATCTTTAGAACGTTTATGGAAATTTTGCCAAGAATTAATCACAGCATCCATAAAATATTAATAAATCATAAAGTAATAATGATTTAAATATAATTAATTTTTAATAATCTATATCATATTGAATTTTTAACAAAGAAGAATTTGAAAGAAAATATATAAAGACTGTTTGGGTATTTGCCAATATTTAGGTATCTTCATATATTAAGTAACTCTCTCAACCTATTTCAAATGCCTTGTTTATATCAATAATATTACATAATTTTGACATAACATACTTTGGCAGATATACTATAAATTAATGAGACCTATTCAAACTTCTAAAGGACAAGATTAGAAGTTGATACTCTGACTACTACCCAGGAAACTGTTATAGCTGGTGAAAGAAGATAAATTCCTAGCAACACTGCAAGCACTATACTCATGATTATCGGAGTGAAAACAAGAATTATATTACTATAAGCTCCAGCATTAAAAAGGTGCTCAATTGAAGTTGCTATTACTATAGTAAAAATTTGAATTCCAAAGACGATGCAATTAAGAATAAATATAAATTGTCTGGTATCGCAATGACATTAATGAAAATGGTGGTAAGCATGCCGACTATAGTGACGATTGAATCAGCTGTAAATTTCTACTTTAAAAGAAGATAATGGGTTTAATGAACATCTTGATAGTAAACACATGTCTTAAAAAACATACCAATTGTTTACGAACTGATAAAATCGCCCGTAAATGATTTATTTTTGATTCTTCGTCAGGAAAAGTATCACAAAGTTCCTTATTATATCTACTTAAAGTGGCATAGATTTTTTCTCATTCAATAGGCAGTTTACTGCCATGATTAGCTGGAGTCCGGGCATTGTCTTGATTAGCTAGAGCTACTGCATTGCCTTGATTAACTGGAGGCTTGACATTGTCTTGATTGGCTGGAGCTTCAGCACTGCCTTCATTAGCTGGAGCCTCTGTGATATCCGAATCCATATTTTTGAAGCATAATAATAATAATAATAAAAAAAATGACAAAATTTATATAATTTTGAATTTTGTGTCATGCAACCGGGTCACATAAAATGCATTGGAGAAACGTGTTTTGGATACAAAATGAATTAGTGTTATCGTTATGAAGTTGTAGAAGTTCTAAGCTGGGGTATGAAATCTGTTAGGGACAACTAAATAGAAATCTCAGAGTTAGTTGGAGGATGGTTACAACTAGAAGGGTTAAATAGGCAACCCCTTAGGTAGGTTATAGGTATAGTAGCTAGTGTAGAACCTACAAGCAGACTACTTAAATAGGTATCCAAAAGGTACATGTGTGGCTAGTTGTAATTTTGTTGTAACTATATATATATTTGACAACTAATAAAAAGCACTTCATGGCCAAAGAGATCATCTTAATACTAAAAAATATATATATATGGGGTGAAGTCAATAGAAAAGGGCCAAATTTTTTCTAAGTAAAAGTTTTCTTAACTTTAAAATTAAATATCTTAGCAATTATCTTATTAAATTTTATAATTTTGATTTTATATAATTCCAAAATTAAAATAAAAAAAAATTAGCAAATTTGATTAATTAGTTGTTGAGATATTTTAATTTAAAAATTAAAAAAATTGTACTAAAAATGATTTGTCCCTTTTCTATTGACTCCACCCCATATATATATATATATTTTTTTTAAAAAAAAATTTCGGCAGTCTTGCCTTCACTTTATTAGGCTTTGTAATAATTCTTTAAACTATTAAAATTTTCCAAAGAGTTAAACTCTTCGGTACCTAAATTACAAGTGGAGACTCACCCGGTTGCTCACTGAGTATCTATATGCGATCTGCTATAGTAAGATTTGCCTCTGTACTATCTTATCCTGTATTTGGCTTTGATAGTACTTCACCAGCAGTTCTTACCGCTTGTCAAGACTACATGTTAACTTTCCACCACTCTGAACATTGACCACCTTCAATCCAACTTAGTACTTCTTTCTTTGAGATTTTTAACACTGATTCCCACCTCATGTTCTCTTCTTTCTTCTTACTCTTTCCTTCATTAGTTTTTTTTGAAGGGTCTGCTTTGGGGCCTCGTTTTTTTTCCCTTTTCTTCTTCTTGTTTCTTTTCTTGGACTTTTCGTAAGACCCTTTCATTTCTCTTGAAGCAATGCTATTTTCTTTTTCCCATTCTTGTACCAGCTTGCATCTTGGGATCCATATTTTTTCATGCACCTTTTTTATCCAATTTTTCCAAAGTTTTACTATGAAGCTCTTCGTCTGGTTGTTGGAGTTAAAATAGGATCTCAACTCCTTAAAGTCTTCTATTGTAACTAGATTTCTAATCCATCTTTCTCTTCTTCGGATCTCTTCAGATTTACTTCCTTTTTCTAACATTGCTAGTATATGTTCTTTCTTTTTCTCCAATCTTTCTGTATCTTTAATTTCTATAAGAGTCGCCTCTACTTCTTGCTCTTCTATACTGCGAAGAAGGTTTACTGATATCTCACAACTCACCAGGTGTTCTACAGTTTCCTTTTCTTTTTTACATACTATACATTTATCTGTTCGGTATACTTCTGGTCTTCTTTGATTAAGCTTTTCAAGTACCGGAAGCATGTTATTTAATTTCAAAGAGCTGTATTGTATTTGTTTTGTATGTGTAGTTTCATTGTTTGGTTCCATCGCTTAGTAGCTTGTAGAAAATCAGCCACATTTGCATAGCCTTTCTCTCTTGGTGTGTTGTATTGTGAGTATTGTGTAAAAAGGTCCATTCGGCTCTGTTCATCACTTTTCCAAGCATCTTAACAAAGGAGCGAATAGGTTTTTCTACTATTTCTCCTTCCCATGTAAATCGTAACTTATACTCTTTTGCACTTAGTGTTTCTGGAATTAGATACTTTGTAGAATCAGCTCCTTTTTTGGCTTCTATATCTGCCAGGTCATTCAATATATCACCCGAATGTCCCTTGACCTTTGTAAGACAAATATTTATCCTCTTTGTCTTTATCACCTCTGTTATGGTTGTGACAAGGCCCCTATTTTTGGTTTTTAGCCATTGCCTAACTCTACTATTTTCTAGCCCCCTCTTGATTGCTAGAATTGCTGCTTTACTATTTGTTCTTATCTCCACCCTTCTTTTGCTAGGTACTGTTAGTAACACAAGTAGAATTGCTATAATTTCAGCTTTTGTTGAGAAAAACTACTTCTTAGTCACACAGGTTAGATTTCGCATGATGTGCCCTTCTTCTGATACTTGAACTACTCTACATCCCATCTTTAACCCTCCATCACTCTCTAAAGTACCGAGTGAGCCATCTGTGTAGAAACATAAACTGCCTAGCTTTCTACTTTGTTCTAGCATTTCTATTATTTCATCTTTAATTCTATCATTTTTAACTAATCTATTTACTAGTACTATTTCCCACCTTTCACAACTTATAGCTATTCTCTCCTTCTCTTTTAATTTTCTTAACTCTTTTGTTTTAACTATTGATTTTTTAATTTCTTTTTCTAATGCTTTTTCTATATATTGCTTCTCAAAGACCATTCTCAGACCATTCTCTGTTTTCTGAACTAGCTTCGATATATCTCTCAGTTTTCTACATTTGACTGTTTGTTTTCATTATATATTAGAATTTGTTGTTCAGAGTTTTCTTGTCACTTTGTTATTTCTTTATAGTTTTCTACTTCTATATACGTGTTTTCTTTTTCTTTCACTCTCCCAATATTGAAATCGTCTTTTGTACCATTTTTCCACATCACCCATTTTTTTGTTCTTTGATCATTGCTTAGATTTGCAGTTGTAATGGTGATTGCATTAGGGTTATTTGTTGCAAGCTTGTATTTATTTTTAACTTCTCTTGATACTGGATTTTCTATCATCTCCTTTTCTAGTTCACCAAACTATTTTGCTTTTCTTCCTTTATATACAGTATCATATACCATTTTAATTTGTCTCCAGATATACATTGATTTACCATCTTTTGCTATAAGCTGCGATGTTAGCTGTAGATCTAATTTACTTGCATTTGTTTCTTCATATGCAATTTTTACTCTTTTAAGAACTTCTGCTATTTCAACATCATTTGCTGTTCGTTTTATATTTAAATTCTAGCTTCTTGATATCTCGTTTTCTTCTATTACAAACTCAAGTGCTTTAGCTTGCTGCAATATATCTAACCCCAAATTACGTCCTCTTATTTTTTTCTTTTCAAGAGCTATTTGGTTTGTTAAAATGCATTTGGTGCGCCTATTTTAAGCTGCCCCTGTTTCAGCCTTCTTGCTGTCGAGGTCTCTAACAAACCAGATGTGTTTAGTCTAACCAGTAGCTTTGAAATATGGTGTTCCATATGTCTGTTCCAAAGGCTTTTAAGATTTGTTATCTCTGGATGTTTCATTATTATGTTTGCTGTCATGGAGGGCAATGACATCTTCCATTTTGTTAGACGTAGCATTGGTTGCTGGATTTTTTCACATTGTGTCTTATTCAAACAAGATATCATAAGTCTGTATTCTAGTGTAGGTACTAGAACCGCATTGTTTATATATATAATTTGGCTCAGAGACATTCTTTTGTATTTAAGTAAGCCTGTAATCTTGCCCACTTCACTTCTTGCCTTGCTTATATCTGACTTTTTCTGGTTTTTAATTGATATCCAAACACCCAGGAATCTTGTAGCTTCTTTATAGCTTTTTGCCTGCACTTCTGTACCTTGCTTGCCTACTCGAATTGATAAGTTTTTAGCATTTTTCTTCTTACCAGGTTTCAGCACTACTAATTCTGTTTTATCTAGATTTATCTCAATATCATTTAGCTTGTAGAACTCATTTAATATATCAATTGTTTTTTGCATATTTTCTTGATTACTCGTAAGCCAGGTTGTATCATCTGCATACGCTAGCACTCCCACTTTGATTTTTGATATAGTGTTACTTTTCTCATCATTATTTGTATAGAGACTTTGCATTTCGTAGCCAAGATTTGCTTCTTGCACCTTGCATAGTAGCGGGTCATAAAATATTCTCCATATCAGAGAGGAGAGTACTTCTCCTTGGTCTATGCCGTCTCCTGCCTCAACAAACTCAGTATTTTCAAAATCAGTTATAATACTAAGTTTTTTATTTTCGTATAGCTCCATTATAAAGTCTATTTATTTCACTGGAAATCTTATTCTCTCTAATGCTTTTTTAAGTAACACCATGCTAACTGAATCAAAGGCTTTTTTCATATTCTGAAATATGATCCAGAGCTCTTTCTTTTTTTCCACTGCTTCTTCTATTATATTGTTCAAGATATGAATAGGTACCAATGTACTTTCTTCAAATAGACTTGTGAAGTTTGCTCTTTTTAATATCTTATTTCTATTTATTACTTTGTCTAACCTTGTTTGTACTATTCTGGTTAGAATTTTTTTGCATGTTTCTAATAGCACTATCGGTCTTGTACTGCTTAAATTGTATTCCCGGAAATTGTTTTTTGGGATTAAATATATCTGTCCTAACTTCTATTTATCTGGGATTTTGCCTTGTTTAAAAATTCTATTTAGTAGTCTTATTATCTTTTGTACTACCTCTGGTGTTAATTTCTTGAAAAGAATATAACTGATATTTGATATTCCTGGTGCTGTATCATTACATGTTTTGCTTAGTGCTTGCATCCATTCTTCTAAAGTAATAGGCCTTAACACTTTTTATATATTGTTGAATCGATGTTCTCATTCGGTTTATACTCTTCTTTCCACTCTTTTTTCATTTCACTAAATTTTTGTTTTTTTTTCTGAATTGTTTTTGGAAATGCAAAACTACTTGTTGCTTCACCTTTGCTTCTTTGCTAAAAAGTTCAGGATTCCGTAATCCCAAATTTTTTCCTACTAATACTCTATCTAATGTTACTTTATTGTAATGTCTACTTAACAGGCTCTGAAGTATTCTTTTCTTGTTTTTTTTCTATTGTAATGAATCTCATTTTTACTTTTTCCCGTATCTCTTTATCTTTTCTTC